GTACTGAAAATGGGATAAAGGCATGTTATTAATAAAGTTGTGTTTTCTTACGCTATATCAACATTCTTTTCTTACTGTAGCAGCTTACACAAGATCGTCTTTCTTTATGTTTCTGTCTGGTTTCTGACGGACTTGTGCGTTGACAGAGCAAAAAATAAATAAATAAATAAATTTTTCTATGTATACTCCATTTGCCATCGTGGGTCTGTGTGTATTTTTGTATGCCGGTCTAGCTTTTGGCTCTGCTTCTTATCTCAGCTCCATGGCTTCCCACTGTTCTTGTCACTTCGCATCGTTCCATGCGCAGATGACTGCTAAGCTAAACTCCTGTAGAGATCCAGGAGCTGGTTTGTCTGAGCATGCTCAGTGCGGGGGCTTGGAAGACTTAACATCTGAGTGTGGGAGGCAGCACACTGCTGCTGCAGGGGTCAGCTGTGCGGATGCCTGCACCCAACAGCAGTTGTTTTCATACTGACAGCACTGAACAGATAACCCCGAGGAAATGGCAAAAAATCTGTAGCTTCCCTCGCCAGGATCATCAGAATGAGTGCAGGAAAGAGCACCGGGGGTTCGACTTTCAAGCAATTTGATTCAAAATATGCGCTATTTGAAAAAGCCTTCTTTGTGCTTGAGGAATGTGCTTCACTATGGCAACAATATTTTCTGCCAATATGTGACAAAGTATTTCATCAGTTCATTTATTCAGATTCATACATCACCATGGATACTATGACCAAACCAGTTCTTCTCTCTTCAACTTCCTTTGGCTTCTTTTTAGTGATCTTTGTAGAATATTGCTGCCAACATTTTTTTATGACTAATGTCACTTTTGCCTGGTACACAATGATAGATCAAATAATTGGTTTGGGTTATGACGTTGATGAAGGGCTGTACTAATAACTATGCCACAGAGCACACTCTCTAGAAGTGGTGCAGAAATTAGACCAGTGAATTATCCAAGTTCTATGTGTGTTGACATTGCCATGGCTACTAATGGTCTCTGCGGGGCAGACATGATTACAATGAGTATGTGGATGAAGCAGCAGACGAGAATGCCAATGGGTGACTTTCTGGATTCGCAAGGTGCTTTGCAGCTTTGTTGGAAAGCACATCTAATGATAAAGCAACCTGTAAAGAAATCTCATAACAGAAATTCGTGAACTTAACATATCTTTTATTTCTTGCTGGCTTCATAGACTAGATATAAGACATGGAAATAGCCACCATGACATAAGCCACTGTGTTGACTGAACTCTGATGATTAATGAAGATGAGGGCTGTTTCCCTATAGACTCCCATACAATCAGAAGTGTTTCTGCAACCAGCTGAGTTGTCCCTGTCTACCCATTAAAAAGAACGGCAGGTTTAAAGCACTTTTACGCTGACTTCTCTTTTCAACTTGTAAATTACTGCAATTTTGTTGCTACTGTGTCTGACAGCTAGCTTGAGTGCCATCCATTAAATACTCCATATCCTTTCTGTAATTTTCACAGAAGTGTCCATGAAACAAAGGCTGGAACTTGTGGAGGAGCAGTTGTTGTTTGCACATACAGATAAGGCTGCAGTCTGAATGACTGAAGGGAAAGAAGCAGGTTTCTGAAACAGTTACAATCTCCAGACGGCACAAAACATGGTAGAAAGGAAAGTTGCAAGTCACCCTGTGATTTAACTGATGAGTTGTCTCTTGCTAATCATAAATCTGAAGACACTGAAGAAGAGCTGAAGTGTACCATAAGCAGCTTTTAATAACTCCTTTAGAACTAAAGCAAGAAAAGCGTACACAGAAATAATGGGGAGGATACATCAAATCTTAGATGCTGGATTAGCATTTTCACCACTTCCATCTTGGACCAGCAGTGTGTGAAACTTTTTCTCATTCCTGAAGACTTGTCAACCTCAAGTTGCTAGCCAATGGCCATGGATAATCCTCCATTGTGAAAGATAGTATAACCAAGAATTAATAAATCTGACATTTTTTAATAAATGTGACATTTTTGGGTCACCTTAATCCAGTGGTTCCCAAACTTTTTTTGCTGGGCCCCCCTTTATTTTACATGAAAAATGCCCCCCCGCGTGCACACACACACGCACACGCACTTACACATCCTCCAACCACACACACCCATATTCTGCTCCATTGCGGTTTATTTCACACCTCAAACATTTAGTAAACAATTAAGCAAATACAAGTAATCTGCAGGTAGTAATAAAATAAACTACTAACTCTTTTACGCTACGTCCACACCTACAGGGATATTTTTGAAAACGCAGCTGTTTCGTCACCGAAAACGGAGATTTTTTAAAACTCCTTTTTTGCTTTTATGTGTGGACGAGGAATACAGAGTTCGTCACGCAACGTCAAAGGTGTGTGCCTTTTGTTATTGTTTACATGAGATAGATTGCAGAATGGCAGATAGAGACGAAATACTGTTAATCTGACTGTCTTCAGGTTTTACATGCAGTTACTGTCCCTCCATTTACAAAGGCAGAGGCCTCACAGTGTGATTATTTTACGTGTAGTTGTTTTTTTCCTGTGTAATAATATTCAACATTGCTATCAATACATTTTTTTTAAAATGCCTCTCTGTGCAAAATGGGTTTAAAAACATAAACAGCTGTGAGATACTGTTTGTCCGTGATTTGAACCAAGGGACCAAATCGTGGCAGGATCAGCCTGATGTTATTTGTATCCCACTGTAACCAGGAGTAGTTGGTCATTACAACAAGTGTTTGTGAACTAAAAATCAAGAATGTGGGATACTGTTTGTCCATGATTTGAAGAGCCCAGCGGTGCTCCTGACGAAGGGAAAACCAATTCTGCAGGGGAGACCTACCTTTGCACTTGTGCAGGTGAAACCAAAGGGAAGATATGCTTCACCATATTTTCTAGTCTTTGGCTTAGAATGAAGTTGGTTTGGAAACATATTCAGCTATGCTTCACCTCCTGCTTTGCGTTTCTGTGGGCGCCCAGTGCTAGCAGTGTCCAAGCATTGTGTTGTTGTCCTCCTCATAACACCCCCCCCCCCAGGGGGCGGGCCCCACACTTTGGGAAGGTCTGCTTAATCAATGTTACACAAAATGAATGAATTTCTTATCCTACCGACTTCTATAGGACTGAGTCTTTTTGCAACCACAGCTAGTGCCATCTGGTGGCCATCAAATAAAATGCTGTTTTTCACTTAATTGCCTGGTTCTGATACGTTTACCCAGTTAAAACGACTTTAACCACATTGACATAACCATATTATATGACAGTAAACCCTGTCATACAGTTCTCAAGCCATTTATTTTTGTTGTGATTTTTTTAATTTACATTTATATTATGTCTATATTAAATTATTTATACAATTTTATTGCTATTCATTGCTAAACCATGAATGTCTGAATTTATAGAATAGGATGAATAACTGTTAATTGAAGAATATAAAGCATTTAAAGCAAAATAATTTTTCTGCTTTTTGCATTTTACAGAATTTAATGGATCATATGCCACTCAGATGATAGAAAGTGCCCTATCAGCTGACAAATGTTAATAGCCTTTTTCATTTGCAGCCATTTTGACATGAAAATAGTAGGTAAAAAGTTTCTGTTCTGTTCTAATTTGTTGCTATATTATACTGCCTGTCTTGTAGTGGTCTGTAGTCAATTTCTGTATTGAGTGTTGTCAGCCCTCGAGTGTTATTTGTCTGGCCAGTCACAACACACAATTCTTTTTTTTTTACCCTTTGTTAGCCCTTTAGTAAAATTAAATTATTTTCATGGCAGAAATGTAAACAACCCTGTCCTGTTATGTGTGTTCTTGTTATAATAACGCATTATGATACTGCAAAAAGTGCCTTTTCATATTTTCTAATTGAATTTTGATTGCCGATATCCTCCACATATTCTTTTTGGCAATGTGGCCAGCTCTGTGCTTCTATTTTTACCATGCCACTCTTTGAGTAAAGTGCACCTCCCATGGGATCAAAGCAGAATTGTCCGAACAACCACCTCAAGTCACGAAAGCTATGGTCTTACTTAAGCTTCCTTTATTTTATTTATTTATTTATTTTCTTTATTGTACGAATCTATTGATGATGACATTTAGGATGAAGATAGTATCAGACAGAGACTCACAACAATATTCCACTGACCTTGGAAGATAAATAGAATCTGTAAACATTAAATAAAGACGAGACAGGATGGGGGGGAGAAACACAGACAGAGGAAGTACTGCGTCATGCTCTCCCTGAGCATTTCCCCAGGTCACTGGAGTGAGAAACATAAAGCTCTGTCTCCAAAAGCAAACTCCCAGGCTTACATAACCTGTTTTGGAGTCATTTGGAGATAGAGTAGACTACTGTGTGTTGCTTGCTTGAAAGTGAATTTGGCACAGAGTGTGGTTCTGTCTCAGCAAGGATTTAGTCTCATTTCTGATAGAAGTTTGATTAAGAAAGTGACAAAAACGTGCATGCAGTCTGTGCATGTTACTCTCCATATTGGTTAATGATGAACACGATGAAGGTGATCAGGTAATAGTGTTCTGGTATAGCTGCTGTTTCATTATACATTTTAATGTAATTTCCTAATTTAGTTTTATTCCATTTGTTTCATGTGGTTGCATGCTATTTAATTTAATACATTCTGGGAAACCTTATAACACACGAATGCACAGTATCATCTTCTCATCTTCCTACCTGTTTACACCAAAAAACAATCTTTAATGGGTACGACAAGGTTTATGATAATAATATTTAAACACTTTATTATGCTAAATAAAAAACATCACTTTTTTAATAATTCAAAAATCTCAATGCAAATAACTGAATTAAATAAATCAGCTGTTTGCAAGGTCAAAATAATAGTATTTCACATACAATTAAAATTCCAGGCTTAAGTCTTGGCTTCATGAAGCACACGTGTGCTTTAAAACACATTCCTGATGTTTTATTAGGAAAAGGTTACATTTTAATACACTGAGTGTAACTGCAGAGGACCAAGAGTGCCCACTTTAATATAAAGCGCTCTGTTATTGCAACATGGAGAGGATCTGGAAACTCCGTATGGAACCTTTTACACATTGAATTAGTGCTCCAGTTATAATCCACCATGCTTAACCTTTATTTGTTTCTTTTGATTGATTCAGCCCAGTTGGTGTATCGTGCAAATATACAGGATCAAGAAAAAGGTAAGATAAAGCACATCAACCAGACTAAGAGCAGAATGTGAGACAGGAGGAGGGAGCATCGAGGAGGCAGGGTGGGTATAGTGGTGGCTGCTGGCGCTCTCTGCAGTACAGATCTGCTGAGAGCACCAGAGCAGAGCTCCTCGACAGATCACAGCCGCAGGGTTCCCACTGCAGTTTAGAGGGAAACCTTACTCCAAAATATTATACAAGGGGACAACAGTCAAAACAACTAACAGGACAGAAGGTAAAGGAAAGTGGAGGACAAGAAAAGAAGTGATGAGACAAACTGACAGAGGAGGTAAGAAGCACTGCATGAGGTTTTCTGCTCTTTCTTGGACCGACAGAACTTCCAGGGGGGCGAAGCGCTTCGTGTTCTACTTTTAGAGTCCTTTTAATTATTTATCTTCTCACTTATTTTGGTCTGTGAAAAGCAACTTTGCTTTTTAAAAAGTTTAACGTAAAGGTCTGAAGCCAGAGAACAGGAAATGTTGAACATTTTCTAGTTGTTTGGCTACTGCTTGTGTATATTTGTATGTTTTTCTTTTGAGTTTTTCTGCATGCCTTTCTGAATGAGAGAGTGGAACACGCCTGAGTGCTTTAGGTACTAATGTGTGACAGCTTGGAAGCATATTGTAAGTAAAATTGTCTTGCACATAAGCTGTGGAGCAAAGGCTTAATCGTATCCCTTTTCTTCACAAGGAGCTGCTTGAAGGACCTCATGATGTCACATGAAGCAGATTCGTTTTTGTGATAACAATCACGGGAAACATTAAGTTCAAACATTCCTTGAGATACATTGAAGAAAGTCTACCCATCTGCCACTGCATCTACCTCAGGATGGCTGGCTGTACCAGCCGCTGCAGACAGGGGGTGCTCAAATTAATCCAGTCCCTGCAGAGATTGGTCTCAGGAACCCTCACAAAAGGTACTTTGTACTGATGCACTCACGTATTCTGAGCCTCTTGAGTGTTAGCTAACTTAGATACAGTGAGGTCTTATGGGTACTCCTGTGTATGCATGTGAATTCAGTTCAGTTCCTTTTTCTTTATGTGGCAACACATCACAAGATAGTTTATTATTGCCTTTGAACAGTTAGGCCAAACTTTACTTGATATAGAAAAATAATTATTCCCTGTCACCAAGCACTTGGCAAAAAGTGGATGGATGTTGGACATTTTCCACCACCACTCTCTCTCTCGCCCCCTACAAAGCAATGCTTTGATCAGCTTAATGTTGTCTTCCTGCAGTTGATCTAAAATAATTTGCTAGTAAGTGTCCCTGTTTTCTGATATCCTGTTTGTTGTACTTTATATCAGTGACAGATTTCAGCTGCCTTCTAATAGCACTCAGTTTTGCTTTAATTAAAGAAGCTCAAAGATTCCTAAAGATATATTGAAGAAAGCCTACCCATCTGCCACTGCCTCTACCTTTCTCAAGCATAATTTATACGTCTGTGTTAAACTTAACGTAGAGCCTTTAACATAGCTTATGAAAGCGACAGATACTGTTGCCGCGGTGAGCCCCATTTGCACGGCAATTTCACCACCAAAACATCAGCTGACGATGGTGTTGATCCATTCGCTCCAGTCTATTTCAAAAATGGTGGCAGAAGAAGAATTATCCAGAAATGAGCGGGACAAAGTGACAGTACAGATCACATTGCAGGTGTAGTCGATGCAATATGTCGCAACATTCCTGAGGAGGGACACATCAGCTTACAGAGTAGGTTACGCTGTAGGTTATAGTGCAGGGTTTCAGAAAGGATTATGGTTATAGCGTACCTACGAAACATAATTCAGTAGCCACATGCAAAACACAACAGGAAATAGCTCGCTTCGTACTACTGGAAATACTTTGTGTGGGTTGTGAAGAAGCCGCCCGAATAGACTGCTCAGGAGACAGCACAACTCGGATGACGCTGTGTGTAGCCCACAGATCAGTTATTTGTGACACTGTCCCCTGGTGACAGAAAACAGCTACAGCATGTAGCTGAAAGTCTGCAATTCTTTCCCGTAGAATCTGCAAAAGCGATGTTTGAGCCATTTGGCTAAGCCTGGTGGGGGGGTTTGTTTTGTTTTGTTGCATACAACCACAGGTTTCCTAAATCTTTCACACTGCATAGCCAAATACCTACCCAAATGTGGTGCCATAGTCCTAACAAGGTTCAGGCCTGCAGTGCGTATGTGAAAGTGGTTGTAGGCTCAAGTGTTGGAATAAGAAGGCCTATAGGAGAAAAGAAGAGCAGTGAGAAACAACAAGCAATCAATACTGGGCAGGTCGGTGAGGCTAGTAGCTGCAGATCCAAAACTTACAGCCAAGAAGCCAGAGATACTTAGAAAAGGTACAAAGAGAAAATGCGGTGGAGAGAAAACACAGAATTGAAATGCAATGATGGCATAAATCCACACCGAGTGAAAAACAGGAAAAGAAAGGGGTGCCTGTTAGTCCAAGCCTAGCAGCAGAAATCTGTCAAATTATGATCCCATCATTCATTCCGCTGAAAGTTCATATTAAGACTGTAATAGGATTGTTTTTCTGACATAGATTTAATTTGAATTCCACGATTGAGCCATTGTGTGGTCTATTAAGCAAGAGGCACATGTTCTTTCATCGTGTCTTTAAAAATTACAGAGCATTTGCTTTGCTACAGTTGCAGGAAAGAGTTTATGAATCCCTTGTACTTTTTTTGTGTTTAGATTTCTGCATTAATATGACCTAAGCATAAAAGCTGTAAAAGCAGATAAACCAAACCAAGTTAAGGAAATAATGCAAACATTTTGAATGTTGCTATTTATTCACACAGCTTTATGTAACTGTCTGGAACATGGGAACTGATACACTAGAAATGTAACTTACACATTCAAGCCCTACATGTCATATATTTCTTCATTATTTTTAAATCATTCTTCAATCTTTGATCTATGTATGATGTGTTGCTAAATTACATTTTTGTAAAGTGTCTTGCAAAAAAACCTGAATGATACTAATTTAGCGTTTCTTATAGGTTGCATGAAAATGCTGTTTTTTACTGTGTTATAGCTTACTGTGCTGAAGCATAAACGTCACTACAGTACTACATGTGTTTACAGTTGGTGTTGGGTTAGGTATATCAACCTTTTGAATTTGAGGGAAAAAGTTGAAATTTTGAGATTGCAAACCCAAAATTTTGAGATAATAACCAAAAATGATTACATTATTGAGGACCACCTACAAAAAAAATTGACCTTCCATAAATTATGTGACTTATCTTTAGCTAATAAGATATTTCAGATATGTCAATATTTCATTTGGACATATCTGTATACTTTTAATTTTCATCTACATCTAGTAAGCTTTGCTATAGAGACTCACATGTGCAGAAAAACACAAGTAAAACAAACGCCTGGAAATTCTCCTTCTTGTATGACATGCATGCTTTGAGTGGCTTTGAGTTAAATGATGAGGTCATTTAACTCTCATCTGCACATAGCTCACAGGCTGAGGCTGTGGTGTACTCTAAACTTCTTCTATTCATCATGCTTTAGTGCTTGTTTGCTTTTTCTGCCCCTTTCTCAGTTATAGTTAAAAAGTTACTTTTCACCTAAGCTGCAAAAATCAAACGCTGAGTCACGATGTCAGAGTGCAGCTGCGAAGTATGTCACGACTAAAAAAACACACACAAACACAGTACTGCTCTCACTTTCAGAAGAACCTGTGGTCTGATATAAATTTAAAATTCACCCTACGCACATGTATGGAGCATAAAATATTTGTGCAGGTGCAGGCAGCGCTTCATTTTAACACTCGCTGTGGGCCACAAATTCCAAATTTATGTATTTTTACCACTTCTTTACTTTTCCATCTAGAAGCATTTGGATACTCTTACTATCTACCTCTAAATTATTTGCAGCCATAAGCACTCTGAGAAATTGATTTTTCACAGGGCAAAGAAAGAAACTTGCAAACTGAGAAACACATCAGATACTGTCAACAAACTGACAATGACAGCATGATGCCCGAACTGTACGTTTTTACACATAAACAGCTACTATCATGCATAATGAAGGATGAATCTGTTGACACATTTCCCACAGCTTGTGTTACAAATGCAAATATGCATTTACAGGAGCAACAAGCTCAATGTTTTTCATTGAATTAAGCAGGAATCCAGCCAGGCTTAGGTTTATAATAATGAACTAACCAAAATCTTACTTACTCTGTTACATGTGCAGTGTTTGTCCAGTGTTTTTTCATCTGCAATGTTAAAAAAAAGAAGAAGAAAAAATAGTATGTAAATCCTTTGTAGCATGAACCTATGTGATATAAACTGGTGTTTTAGTCAGCCGCTGAGCTATTCTAAAAATTATCCAACCAACTCATGGCAGTGAGTAGGCTGACTATCTAGGTCATGCAACACAATCGCATACCGTAGCTATTTGACTGAAACAATCCCAAACCTACTTTTTTATGGTTAGGAGCTAATCCTTTACCAAAGGAATGAAGGATTACAGTTTATAGCAGACTTGGTTATCAAGATGATATCTGGTTCTCTCATTATTTGTAGACGTTAGTTATATTTTTCTTTGCATTCTTAAAGGATGCATAATTGATCAAATGTAATGTAAATTATGTTGAGTATCCACTTGCTTGATACTGTGCATCTGGACATTTGTTGCTTCTGTCCAAAATGTTCTATTGTGCTTCGCTGACCTTTACTGACTTAAAGTTAAGATGCGTGCGCATTGGGCAGCATAAGGGCCGAGTCTTCATTTAGCTTCATAATTAAATGTCACAGAGTTAATTAAGAGCCACTGGTCAAAATACATTTAAGTGGTTTAAACGGGGATTTAATAAATCTATGATTTTATGCCACAGTGGGGGTTTTAAACCTTTGGAATTTTTACATTTATACAATGTTAGTTTCTCATTGCCATAGCTCAAGATGAACAGGCACAACTATCCATCCATGCAAAAACACAGGCAAACATAATATTTCTTCCACGTATCCAATTCAGGGTCACAGGAGAAATGATAACAAACATTATTCAAAGTTTTAAACGTCATTGGTATTAATTTGATTTTGGTGCTTACATGGAGCGGGTTGATCTTGTAATGTGTGGTTACAGCATGAAGTAACAATGTCTTGTTTAGCTTTGAGCCCTTCCTCTGCACAGTTTAATTATAATCAGATTTCACAAGCACTTGCTTCCAGATTGCGGCAGAGGAAGACCGCATGCTAAAGTATGCATGGATGAAGACATGAAAACATGCACATATGTTCTCATAAACATTAACACACAAGCAAGCTATTTAGACTTTTTTTTAACAGCTATGTTGTTTTTTGCATTTTTCCTTGCATACACTATAGACAAAAATGAACTGTCTTATCTTTAGTCTTATGCCTTAAGTCTTATTAAGTTCAGCAGCATGCATATTCATCCTCAGACCTTTAAACATTGCAAACCAAGTGAGGATACAGTAGTTATGATATGCCTCGGGGCTGCAGCTGACTTACTGTTATTCCTGTTTCTAACATTACATTGTACTTTATGCTCTTTACATAGTGCTTTCCTTGTAAAATAAAAAAAATTGTTTCCATGTAAAGATACAAAGGAGTAGCACTAGTAGCTTCAGTGTTTTGACAGTTGCTCTGACCTTGCATTCATGTTAGTGCACAATTAAAAATGGCTGTCCTCCCTGTTGTTATAAAAAGAGACAGTGACCTCTCACAGCACATTTTAAAAGCAAGATGGCAGAGTACAGGCTCAAACATTCAGCTAGAAGCAACTTTTTCGAATTTTACAGCACGTGAGAAACCAGCTAAAAGGCCTCAGACAAAGGGAGGGACTTGTGAGGTATATTTTGAGTGAGTTATATATATTTTGCTGTGACGTACTGATGTTGTAGCGCAACATCCAGGGAATCTGAATGTCAAACCTAATGGGA